GGGGGGTTGGTGGGTAGTGGGGCGCATTGGGGAACCTCTGGCCTTGGGGCAGCAGAGAGAGTAAATCCGGCCCTGGCGACTTGTGGGGTGAATTATGACATCACAGCCCCCTGCCATAGGACCAGTGAAGGGGTTTCACTTTTAACCCTTCCCTGCACCCCAGACAAGTAATAACCACATATTTAGAATGACAAATGTCATCTCAAGACTGCCCAGCAATTCGGCCCCTAAGGGAAGGACCTTGTCTACGCGGAGTGCAGCGGCCCCCAACCTGGCCCCCCTGGACGACACATGGAAACATAAGCTTTTCTTGCACCAGCTCATGGTCTGCTGCCCTCTAGATTGTAAGCCCGCCTGGGCAAGGATCCTGTACATCTCTCTGTGTATATTCTCTCATCGTCTTCCTTTCTATGTATAACGATGTAGATTACGATGGTTGTATAAAAAAATATAAATAAAAAAAAAAAGGACAAACGAAAGAATTGCCTCGTTTATTCCCTTCGAAGGATCGTTAGAGGAAAGCTCGTTTTTGCTCAGTTGTGGTGGGGTTAGAACATCTGTTGGGGGGTTTTACTGGTGCCTGGGTCCCTGTTAGGGAGAGTCCATCCCACTTCCTGTCCTGGTGGCCACACAGGTAGTGAATGGAGATCTTTCCCCCGCTGGGACACAGACATAAAGCTTGACGGTTCAGACCATTGTTCACCTAATTTAAGAAAAAAATTAAATGTTTAAGCTGAAGTTACACGTGAAAGCGTTCCTTATATCTAATTATATACACACGATTATGACGGCGACACCCTGCTGCTCAAACAGACAAGTGTATAGTGTGGTGTAGATTAGGGGTTCACCTCTGTAACATTGAGACACCCTGCCTCTCATTTGGAGGAATTGTGACTCTTTTGGAACCAGCCAAGTCCCCCTGTCCCTCCTTTCCCTTCAGTCATCCCTCCTTAGCCATCCCTCCTTTCTCTTCAGTCGTCCCTCCTATGTCCTCAGCCATCCCTCCTTTCTCCTCAGCCGTCGCTCCTTTCTCTTCAGCCATCCCTCCTCAGCCATCCCTCCTTTCCCTTCAGTCATCCCTCCTTTCCCTTCAGTCATCCCTCCTCAGCCATCCCTCCTTTCTCTTCAGTCGTCCCTCCTATGTCCTCAGCCATCCCTCCTTTCTCCTCAGCCGTCGCTCCTTTCTCTTCAGCCATCCCTCCTCAGCCATCCCTCCTTTCCCTTCAGTCATCCCTCCTTTCCTAGCCGTCCCTCCTTTCTCCTCAGCCGTCCCTCCTTTCTCCTCAGCCATCCCTCCTTTCTCCTCAGCCTTCCCTCCTTTCTCCTCAGCCATCCCTTTTATGTCCTCCCACTGTTCCTCCTTTCTCTTCAGTCCTCCCTTCTTTCTCCTAATTCCCCTCATGTTCTGTTTTGGTCACCTGGACACATAGAAAGGGTGAGTCTCCCCAGTGTGGACCAAGAAGGCCATAAAAAAAAACTGACCGGTGTTCTAATCCCTCTCCACTCCAAGACTACAAAAAGTTTCATCTATACGATTTAAAAAAAGAGAACATTGTCGCCGGGCGTTCAATTGAGAATGACGGCCCATTAAAAAGTCCATCTGCCATTGACGGCCCTTACGGCTATTTGGCATTTTCACCGGGACGGCCCAAATGTCAGTCACCCGGAACCACGAGAGAAGCGCCAACCACCGGGAGAGAGATGGAGAATTCACCTTTTATAAAACCGTTAAATAAAACACGTTCCGCTCTTCCCAAATCATTTATCAATTTTCTACAGCGCCGGTTTATTGATCAAAGCCCTCCCATGCGTCCCGTGTGCCCCCTTCCTCCCTCCGCAGTGACCCTCCTGATGGGCGAGAAGGTCCCCTGACCAGCCACGGTTCCCTGGTCTCCAGGCAGGCGGAGAAGAGAGAGTCTGGTGGTATCCGCGCCGTCCCGAGTGTTGACGCGCACCGAGCACAATGTGTCAGCGTGACTTCGGGATTTAAATGCATTCTAAACAATTCATAAATTTGTTGTCTCTCGGGGGTCCCGAATATTGAGCGTGGCGCTTTGTCAGACAACATTGTCGTGTGCGTCAGGTAGGCCTCCCGTTGTGTTCTGTAATATCTGCCTAAATTGTTCCGAAGGTTCGCTGGAATCTATTCAAATGAATTTTTTTTTTTTTGCATCAATGTTTATGTAGCCGGGAGTTGGCACGACCACGTCTGCTTATCTCTCCCATGGAAGAATCATTCGCTCATCCGAGCTGGACTTGTAGAAATTAAGATCCCACCTTTAGAATACTGCGGAAAGGACGTCCCCAAAAGTCGTATCACCCGCTCATGTCATTGGCTCGTTTTCCCAGAAGTCTGCACAGAGCTGGAGGTAACATTTCAAGTATCCCCCGCAGGTTTACTGCTGTGACAGTCTCATGTAAAGTGAATTATGCTCCACTGCTAAACGTCTGTGGACACCTGACCTATATGAGCGTGATGGGTATTGATATGGAGTAACCCCCCACATGGCCAATAAAATTAAGTT